TCATAGCCACAGTAGTGCACTGTCGAGGCGCGCGCGCGCGCGCGCGCGTGTGTGTGTGTGTGTGTGTGTGTGTGTGAGAGAGAGAGAGCGAGAGAGAGCGAGAGAAGTGACATGTGGGTCCCAGAGATCTATGTGACACACTTACAGCTGAAAGTCTCCTCTTGACAAGGGACCCCACCTCCTACACCCTGATCTCCGCCTCTTGAATCCTAACCCACCCCAAGGAATCTGATCCGTGGAGTAAAAGGCCTACACTGTGATCCCGCACCCTTCTCCTCACTCATTCTTGATTCCGCCCCTAAGAGCCTGACTGCCCTCAGGATCCCTGACTCCATCCCTGCGGCCCTGACCACACCGCCTGCACTGTGACCCCGCCCCCAAGTGGCCTAGTCCTGCCTCCTGAGTCTGTCCCCCAGCCCTGACCACGCCCCTCCGGACCGAGGTTTTCCCCCCACCCCCCACCAAGCTCTCACAAGCCCTGGTTCCACCCTGAGCCCATCCCCCTGACCTCGGAAGCCCAGATCTAGCCCCTGCACCGTGGCCACGCCCCTGCTCTGTGGCCACGCCCCCGAAAGCCGTGACCACGTCCCCAGGAGTAAGTGTTCGGCCTCTGGGCCTTTTCCCCAGACCTGACCACGCCCCTGCACCGAGCCCCGCCCTCAGAAGCCCCCGTTCCCCTCTGAGCCCGTCCCCCAGTCCTGAATCCGCCCTCAGGATCCCTCGCCTGGAGTGGAGGCAGCCACATCATAAACGGGGAGGACTGCCACCCGCACTCGCAGCCTTGGCAGGCGGCACTGTTCCTGGAAAAGGAATTTTTCTGCGGGGGAGTCCTGGTGCATCCTCAATGGGTGCTGTCAGCCGCACACTGTTTCCAGAAGTGAGTGCAGGGCGGGGTGGGGACGGGGGCGGGGCCTGGGTCCTAGGGAGGACTCGGCTGTATGGTGAGCTGAGGGGAAGCGCTTAATAGGTTCAATCTCTGGGTACTAAAAGTGAAAACCAGTGTGAAGGAAGGCTCTGCGAGGGAAGCGGGAGCTATGTGTTGCTTTGGAAGGACTCAAAGAGTCCTGGGTTGAAATCCAGCTCAACTGCTGAGTTACTAGTGACTTAAGGCAAGTTCTTGTCCCTGGATTATGATTGTGCTTTAGGTTGGGTAGCTCTTAGCGCAGTGCTTAGCAAGGAAGATGGGGCTAGGGTAAGGGGCTGGAGATGGGGCTGTGGTTGAAGGTAAGAATGGAGATAACGGTGTAGTAGCCACAAAGCTATTCTGTCCCCACCCTACCCCCACCCTGTGGCCCTCAGTTCCTATACCATCAGGCTGGGCCTGCACAGTCTTGACGACCATGAACCAGGCGGTCAGATGATGGAGGCTCACCTCTCCATCCAGCACCCGGAGTACAACAGACCATCTTTTGCCAACGACCTCATGCTCATCAAGTTGGAAGAATTTGTGCCCCAGTCTGACACCATCCAGAACATCAGCATTGCCTCACAGTGCCCGACCGCTGGGGATTCTTGCCTCATTTCCGGCTGGGGTCGGCTAGCAAATGGTGAGCTCGGGAGTGTGGGTGTGTGCGGCCTCTCTGAGGGGGTTCTCTGCCCAGCCAGAGAGGCTAATGCGATGCTCTGCGTCCCAGGCAGACTGCCCAAAGTGCTCCAATGCGTGAATATCTCAGTGGTGTCAGAGGAGATCTGCAGTGAGCTCTATGCCCCTGTGCACCACCCCAGCATGTTCTGCGCTGGCGGAGGCCAGGACCAAAAGGACTCCTGCCATGTGAGAGAAGGGAGAAGGGAGGAGGGGAGAAAAGATCCAGGGAGAGATGGAGAAGGGAGGGGACAGGGTGGTGGTGAAGGGAGGGGATAGGTGGGGACAGGTGGTGAGAAACAGAGATACGGGATGATAGTGTGACAAGCGGGGAGAGAGACTGAAAGAGAGAAGTCGACACGGGGATAAAAGGAAGCAAAGAAAGACGACAGATTCAGTAAGGCAGAAACACACATGCACACACGCACACCCAGAGAGAAACAGATACACAGACGCGTGGAGATGAAATGCCAAGTGAAATAGGAAAAAAAAAAACAAAAATAGAATAGACAAAGAGATGCAGAGAGGCACAGAGACTCCAGGGGTCATTGAGACAGAGAAATAAGCTACAAGGGGAGAAAAAGAAGGAGGGACACAAACAGAGGCAGCACAGTAACAAACCCAAGAGAATCTACCAGCTGTTAGGATGTAGGGGAGCAGAATTGGTGCGGTCAGGGCTCTAGAATGGAACGTTTAAGGAATATGTTGCTATCTTTTTTTTCCCCCCTCTCCTGCCATTGCTTCTCATTTGGTTCCTTTCTGATCTCACATCTATCTCCATCTCTCTGTGTTTTGGATTCTCATTCTCTGTCTCTCCACAACAGGGTGACTCTGGGGGCCCCCTGGTCTGCAACGGGTCCCTGCAGGGCCTTGTGTCCTTTGGACAATCCCCGTGTGGCCAGCCCAACATGCCAGGCGTCTACACCAACCTCTGCAAGTTCACAGACTGGATACAGAAAACCATCCAGGCCAGTTAACTCCAGGGACTGGGACCCATGAAATTGAACCCCCAAATATAAGCTGCTGAAGGAATTCAGGAATCTGGGTTCCCAGTGCCTTCTCCTTCAGACCCAGGAGTCTAGACCCCCACCCCCATCCCCAGTAGTCCAGTCCTGCTAAGAATATCTTCCTGTACACAGTGCCCCCTAGTGGCACAATGTTGACCCCGCCTTACCATTGGTAGAGAAAGTTGGGTTTTCGCCGTCATTTGTCCTTTCCTCTAAGCCCAGAAATAAAGTCGAAGAGAAGCACGGGCTCGGCTCAGACTCTCCTCCTTACTTCCCTTCCCATCCAAGGGATTCCAGCAAATAGCTTTCCTTCCTCGTGCCTCAGTTTCCCCATCCGGGAAATGGGAGCCTTGACCAGGAGCGACACAGGATCCCCAAGGAACGAGACATAGCTGGAAGGTTAAGAGAACTGATTCTGTGGATGTTGTCCAATTTCTGAAAAGTCAAATCAGCAAACGGCAAATTAATGGGATTTACTTATTTAGTTTATGTAGCTTTCACTGACTTATTTTGGTTTGGTCTTCTTAAATGCATTTTAAGAATTCTCGATTTGTAGCTGCCTCAGGACCCTCCTGCTGTAGCTGGAGACTGGTGGGAAGAATCTGGGGGGTGGTGGGGAAGCGGGGGTCTGAGGACAGAGAGAGGGGAGACTGGAGACCCAAGAATATAAGGAATTGTTATTATATCATAATAATTGTTATTATACTAAATAGAATATACTGATGAGAATTTATATTCATAAATATATTCATAAATATACTATGAATCTATTCTTAAGGAAATATTTAAATTTTTATGTATCTCTTAATGTATCCTCAAATATATAAAGAGTGAAATAACTAAAAGTAAGATAGACAAATCCCCACTCATAAAAGAGGATTTGGGGGATTCCCTGACGGTCTAGTGGTTAGGACTTGGTGCTTTCACTGCCAAGCGAGCAAGTTTGATGCCTGGTCGGAGAACTAACATCCCGCAAGTGGCAAGGCGTGGCCAAAAATTTTTTTTTAATTAAAAAATGTTAAAAAGAGGATTTTAAGGTGACTCAAAAAAATAATAGAACAAACAAGATAAAAATGGATAAGGACATAGATGATTTGAACAATATAATTAACAAAACTTTACTTAATGGTCATATATAGAACATTGCACCCAGTATCTGAAGAACATAAATTCTTGTCAAAACACAATACCTACCAGAATGGCTAAGATTAAAAAGATGGACAGCACTGAGTATTGGTTGGTATGTAGAACAGCTGTAATTCTCACAAATTTCTTGGGGGGTGGGGGGAGTATAAAATGGTACAACCGCTTTGGAAAACAGTTCGGCTGTTTCTTAGAAAGATAAACATATGTCTACCCCATGACCAGCAAGTCCACTCCTAGGTATTCATGTTAGAGCAATGGTGGAGGGGGGAACCGGCCACAAGTGTTCATAGGAGCTTTATTCATAACAGCCAAATTGGAAACAGCCCAAATGTCCATGAAGGGGTGAATGGACAAACTTACTATGACCTATCCACTCAATGCAATGCTACTCAGTAATAAAAAAAAGTATTGTTATACACAACAATCTAAGGACGTCTCAAAATCATGTGAGTAGGGACTTCCCTGGTGGTCCAGTGGTTAAGAACCCATGCTTCCACTACAGGGGGCGCAGGTTCAAGCCCTGGTCAGGGAACTAAGATCCTACATGCCGCACAGCCTAAATAAATAAAATTTAAAAAAATTTTTTTTAATCATTATGCTGAGTGAAAGAAACCAAACACAAAATATATACTATGATTCTATTTATGTACGAAATTCTAGAACAGGCAAAACTAATCAATGTTGCCTGGTTGCTGGGATGGGAAGGGAAGAGTACATGCGGAGACAATGGGAAGTGACGTGACCAAAAAAATTTTTTTAATTTTTATTGGAGTATAGTTGATTTACAAATTTGTGTTAGTTTCTGCTGTACAGCAAAGTGATTCAGTTATACATAAACATATATCCACTTTTTAAAAAATTCTTTTCCCATACAGGTCATTACAGAGTATTGAGTAGAGTTCCCTGTGCTACACAGTAGGCTGAAATTTTTTTATAATTTGACAAGATTGAGAGTTACCTGGGTGCAAGCATTTATCAAAACTCATTGAACTACACACTTGAAATCTATACCTTGCACTGTGTATACTGCAATTTTAAAAATATACCTCAACAAAAGACTTCGCACAGCATTTATAAAAATTGACCAGAGGGACTTCCCTTGTGGTCCAGTGGTTAAGAATCTGCCTTCCAATGCAGTTGACGCAGGTTTGATCCCTGGTTGGGGAACTAAGATCCCATATGCTGCAGGGCAACTAAGCCCGTGCGCCACAACTACTGAGCCTGCGTGCCCTAGAGCCTGTGCACCACAACTAGAGAGAAGCCCA